GGTTCATCTATATGCGAGACACAGTAGTATTGGAGAATGCCTATCGGGTAGGTTCCTAGTACAAAGCTGCAAGGGCGATATAGGCTGTTAAAAACGATAACTGTGTACACACAACGCATGAACACTTGCATCAAACACATCCATAGAAAAACTGATGATGTAGCCAAGAAGACCAAATATAACATCACCGGATTGATTACGATGTGAAGGCACCGTCTACTGAACGCTAGGAGAACTATCGTATTTGCAATGTAAGGAAACTTGGTCGAGCCTTCTAATTGGGATGTAGCGGTCTTAGGAATAAGCTATGTACCAATTTGTATCCTATTCACATACCTCGTTCAAATTTATGCAAGGGAGACATACAATGGTGAATTGTGATGGCTGGCGTAGTGTTGAGTGCAGCCTATGAAACAGGTGGTAAGGGGTCGGACCTTGTGCTAAAGCAAATTGCATTGAGGCCTTTTCGCATACACAGTAACATACACTTCTATTTCATATTATCAAATGAATTCACAGGAAAGCTAAATTCTCTCAAGATTCGATATTATTTCGAAACTCTTAGCAAATGGGTCGGTGTTATGTTTGCCTGTGGGTCTGAACATGCCTTACCGCGAAACCTGGTTAGCCATTACACATTCTGTCTGTTTCAGAGCTGGCACTTAACCCTTCTGTCACTTCGTGTATCAACAGCCAGCCCCCTCCACTGCTGGCACTTTATTGAACCCCGCTATCAATCTTTTTTGATTTCTCTCTTTGTTTCCCGAAGCGTTTAAGGGTCGAAAGTATTCTAACCTGACGTTTCCAATTGTTCATATTGTGAAAACGCTTGGTAGAGCATCAAGAAATTGCACTAAGAGTAGAAGCTGAGAGGGAGGTACGCAAACGCGGCGATTCAAGCAATCTTCCTTCATTTCTTTTCCTGCTTGGGCAAAAAGCACCGCAGAAACGGAAAAAATAAAAGATGTATCTGCGGGTCCCAAATTTCTTCTTCCTACTAAAAACCCACTCCTCTGGGGATCACATAATAAAGGGTAAACTATGGGATCACATACTAAAGGGTGAACAGATAGATGAATCTAAAGTAGTTCTACCATCGTAGAACCGAAGATTCCTTGCTTTACCGTGTCTGACTTCTTGTGAGGGGCGGGCTTTGCCACCTCATGCAAATTAGGAGGTCTCGCACTCACTCTCCTACGCGCTTGAACCACCTAAGGTCATAGTTGTTCTTCTCGGTACAGTAATCACAATAAACACTCACCAATCTTTCGTGTCTCTCATTTCTCATTGCTTCTTATACGGGGGAAAGGTCATTACTTGTGAGTGGCAATAACGCAAGCGTCGCGCGCGGCAAATTACACAGCTAGCGGCGTTCGGACAGCTGGGTCAGCAGAGCACGCATCACAGACTCATGCAAGGTAACTCAGTAGATTGAAGCACTTTGACTCCGAATGCAATTCGAAAGTTAAGCGAAGAAATGAGGCATACTACGACGCTTGTTGTCTATAAATTTTAAGAAATATAAGTTTAAAGAAATAAAGTAAAAAATCACAGAATTTTTAGAAGTATTCATATGCCAAATTTGCATAAACCATG